TAATAAAATGATTTCATTGAAGCTACAGGAAACAGTTATAAAATAAACTTGAAATAGTTTTATAACCATCATAAAAATCTCCCAAAAAAGTGCTGTAAAGCTGCTACAAAATAATTCACTTTTATAAGAAAGTAAGTTTTATAAGTTGGTTGTAAAAACGTTGCCGTGATAATTTCGTGACTATTTCATAATGGTTTTTTAATTTTAGTTCATAAACGTTTCTATGACAAATTTATGAAAACACTTTTATTGTCTACAACTGTCTTGTGTTCACAGCTTGTCTAATATAATCAATTAGCTTTTGGAAGTAATTATAAAATACCAGTAAAATAAAAGTGTTGCAGCACTATGGAATTATAAAACAACTTTGCTGGTTGGGATAGAAATCAAAAGGGATAAATTCGTGGACAGAACACTTAAAAAATGGGGGCAAACCGCGGATACGTGTTTTTTGCTGTTGGCCTCATCAGCCAGCGGTTTGCGTGTCAAAAAGAAATCTTGTATTTGCTGGAAGAAAAATGTGCATCATCTTTCATAAGAATTATTATGAATATAAAAAAATCAAAATGGACTACTTATGGATCTTATCAGGAAGAAGTACGGATAGGAGAAAAAGAAAACTTACTGAATGGATCTGATCATAGAAATCTTCTGTGAAAGTATCAAGTGGCGGTAATTTATTCTCATGAAAATCATCGATACTTCCACAAACCGACGACAAATACTGGGTTTTCTTCAACCTGAAACAAAAATATAGAATTATTTATAGATACACGACTTTCTCACGAATCATAAACATAATAACATAACTGAAATACTATCGCATTTTGTTATTTCATAGAACTCACTCGTCTTCGCTGATGGACATATTTTTCCAAATTTTCATAGCTGCTTCAGTGAAATTGAACTTCTCTCTTGTCGCTTTTACCGCTGGACATATCGTGACAGCTGGGAACGGTATAGTGGAAATTGGTGATTCTCGTGTAGCGAAGTTGACGATGAACGGATTTTCTTCGTATTTGTTATAGATTTCTAAAATGTGGTACACTGACAAAGCCACTGCTGTCAGTAATATTACAAGCCATAGTATTCTGAAAAAAAATTCTATACTGGGTGTATGAACGAATCGTATTTTCGGAATAATTGCGAATTATCGTATGGATTTCGAAAGAAAAACGTTTTGAAAACCGCTCTAAGAAATCAGAATGCTGCGTTTTTTCTTTATAATTGAGAAAATATATTTTTGAATGAAACGTTTCACTTTTTCGTTACTGAAATGACCCATTCATCTTAAACAGTGTCATCCCCAAAGTATGCACCATAAGAGAAACTTATTTATTAAGGGTTTTCCGACAAGAAGTTATTCGTGATAAAAGTACGTACATCTCCTGAAACGGAACATGCACCAACAGAATATAGTACAGCACACGTAATATATGAGGAGTCTTCAAATATTTGATTTTATGACAAGAGTACTCTTTAAGAAAAAACGTTTTTGGCTTTTTACCACCCCATCTTGATACAAAAAAAGGATGAGGGAATCTTCCAATAATTACGATTTTTAATGTCACGGAATAAACTTGATCTGCTTATGTCATCGATGACATCGTAATGACATTCATTCACCTATTTGATTTGATCTTAGCCAAGAGGAATCTTATTTGAATTGAAGGGGTTATATTTTTAAGAGTGCTAATTTTTGGGAAAGAAAGTTTTTGGCTTTCTACTACCCCATCTTGATACAAAAAATAATGATGAGGGAATCTTCCAAGGAAAGGAAGGGAGTAATCCATATTACTATGCAATATCTCAAAATTGACTCAGGTAATGA